TGAAGGATTTTTGGGTCTCAGTCAAACCAGTTATTTTAGTCCATGTAGCAGTTAATACACCAATTGTATTTTCCGTCACACTTATTAAAGGTTGTTAATGTCTAGTGACCAGTTTGTAACCAATCGATAATGTTAATGATCGATTTGTAACTTTTGAAATTTCAGTGAGGAAAACAGAAACTTGCCCAAATATTAATGACCAACTTTGTAGTTTATCCTTTTATTAATTTAAAGTGATTAGAAGTGATAGTATTTATTATAAAGAATTTCAATTATTTGACATTGTTAAAATTTTCTTTGATTACCGATAAACATCTAGGATGATAATTCTAACGTATATCATATATCACTATTAAGATCCATTAGTTCGTAATACATTAATATTATTTTTAATACATAAAATGTGATGGCAAAACTTCTACGATAATGCAAGTGGGAAACTTTATTTCCCAAAATAATGTTGTAATGAGATTATTTCCCCAAATGGGGCGATTGCTACAGGTGACATGCATCTCTCGGCGTCTTCAGCAGATTGCACACGTCTTAACAATTTTGCATTTGTTCGAGGGATGTCTCGGCATCTTCAACACAATTTCCATGCATAGTAGGATATCTTGGCGTCTTTGCATGCAACTTAGAGCTCTCGGCGTCTTCAAAACAATTTCTATGCTCGTTAGATATCTCGACGTCTTTCATGTGTTTTAGCTACCATTAAGTTTACAACAAACAAGAAACCGAAACCATGTGAGATAGGGTTGTAATTTAACAATGACGTTAATTATATTAGTGTAGGGTCGGGCCAGCACTAAACAAAACAAAAGCATTGCCAAAGAAAGGTGACAAGATCAACATACAATTTATAAAAGAGAATCAATAATGAACGCAATAATGAAAAAGAAAATTTTGCATGGGGGCCGAGATGGTGTTGTTAATGCAATAATCACTCCATGATATGCGCATGTCAAGCAATAATGGTGTTGTTAATGCACTGAATATGATTTATAAATAGGAGGATATGGGTGTTTGGGATAGTGAGTGTGAGTTCGGGGAGAAGTTAGCAAAGAACAAAAGAAAAGCTTAAATGTTCGAGAGTTATTTCGGGGAAAAAAGGAGAAAAAAGTTCGAACAAAGGAAGAAGTAGATTGATACTAATAATGATTAGTAATAATGATACTAATAATATTATTAATAATTTAGTAAAATTTAATAATGATTAGTAATAATTTAGTAAAATTTAGTAATGATTTCATCATTATTAAATTTTAACTACTAATGATTTAATAATAATAATTTAATGATTTGATACAAATGATTTAGTAATGATTTGATATTTAATGATTTAGTAATGATTACTAATTAAATTTATGATTAGTAATAATGATACTAATAATGATTTACTAATTATTAATTTAATAATTATTACTAATAATTATTTAGTAGTAAAAAACTCAATTTAATAGTAATGATATTCGATTCAATTACTTCAATTTGATACAAATAATTCGAATAATGATTACAACTCTTGACGGTGTTGGGGTGTTGTTGAGTAATAATGTTGAGGCGCACGTCGGTTTCGTTGTGGTCGTTGCACTTGTTCAGGAGTTTGTTCATCATAACCAACCTGCTCATTCATCGAGGGCATAGGTTTCGGTGTTGTAAATATTTGCCCACCACCACTGTGTTCTCCCATCTGAGGACAAATAATCGTACTTGTCATCATAGATATCATCTGATCAAAATCATTTGTTGCCCTAAATATAGGAGAGAACATGAGTGATTGATGAGGAACATGCTGAGAGTGTAGGGCGTAACACCAGAATCACCAACCACTTAACTAAATGATCTGGTGTGATCAAAAGATTCTGGTGGGATAGTATTCATTGCCTCTTGTTTTGCTCCACGGTGAGAAGAACTCCTAGTCCTTCTTGGTTTCTCGGGTTTACCAAATTTTTTCGTATACTCTATAAATTGTCGTCTTTCTCTGTTCGTTGTCAGGAACGGCTTTCCATGTTCCCAAAAATAATTCAGGTAATCCGAACTCTGGAAGTCAAAGTCATCCGCTTGTATGGGAGTGAGTGTTGACAAGTTTGAACCTCCTGTTGTTCCAATGATTGATATGGTTAGCATGCCTCACCGACCAATCCTCATCGACCCTACCTCGCACGTCTAATTTGTAGAGAGCGTCATAATTCTCCGGAATGACTGGAATAGGTTGGTGGAAGTCGAACTGCCTCAACACTCTATCGGCAAATTGGAACTCCACAAATACGAAATGGATCAATGGTGTAACAGCACACCAATATTGACAACCCTCCCAGACATGTTGCGGTACACACGACATAATTTCTCCATCATCGTAAGGCCTCCAAATAAACTACAAAACAAAATTATATAGTTATTATTTAATTAAATAATTATAAAAATCAACAAAATAAATAAAGAACGATATTATAATATAAATATAATAAAAAATAAATTCGCTAATTAATTTTATATATACCTCAACTTTGCATTTGATGTCAATCTTAAACCTAAACTCTTTCATGTTATTGTGCGTCAATCCCGTTCTTTCTATTTTATGCCTCTATATGTATACCAATCAAAATAAAATTCTGTAATTATTGTTATTGATGTAATATTCTTTATTTAATTTAAGATCAAATATTATAAATTAAAAAAATTACCTTCCAGCAAGAGGAAAGCCAACAATAATTCGGCTAATCAATATTAACCATGGAATTTTGTACCACGCCCACGATTGTAATAACATCGCGCATCCAACGATTTCAGTCGTATACGCATCATTTACAAGTAATGACGCCTTGCACATCTCGCGATACAAGAACGCCAATATTGCCGATCCATAACTATATTGACGGGTCATAAAGAAGTTATCCAAAAACGGAAGATATTGTATATGGACAAGATTATTGGATTTATCCGGCATCAAGATTCCGCCGATCAACCGTAATATATATGCTCGAGTTGCATATATAATGTCTTGCTCACTACAATGAGGATCGAGCTTAAACTCATTTGTCAACCAGGATAATCTCAGTCGTGACCCTTTTGTTAAATCTTTGTGTGGTACCTTCCCAAGGTAACGCTCACATATTGCAAACACGTTAAGATCGGTATTTCCCACCACTGTCATTCCATTTGTAGGAACACCGAGTTGTAAAGCCACATCCTCCAAAGTGATCGTACATTCACCACATGGAAGATGAAAAATATGAGTTTCTAGTCTCCACCGTTCAATTAATGCACTGATCAAACCGGGGACCAAGCAAAATTCTCTTACAAAAGCGACATCATAAAAACCTACTATTTTCAAATTATCGACTATACGTTGATCTGGCATCTAATAGTTGATAAGTCGAGGACGAAAGACTCGTTGTTCGTCATCATGCAATTTGTTAATCCATATAATTAGAATTAATTCACCGTTCTCAACTAAAAAATAAGTAGATCATATTACCAGTTCTCCCAAATGACTCGAAATGATTTGACAATCTAGCCTCAAAAGAACATTTTCTTCTGCCATGTTTCAACAAATCTAGACAAAAAATTTAAATATTACACTCAAATATTAAATTGTTTTATTCAAATAATGAACAATAACCTCCTTTAATAAAAAATAAAAATAAACTTCAAAGCTAAAACGATCAACCTTTGCAGGTGTAACTTAGATCGGTAATTACTTTATTTTCGTTTGACATATTACTCATCATTTCTACTCACATGAATTTTCAAGCCTTACTTTCTAATTTAATACAATATTCTTTTCCTAATTACTATTTGGTTCTTAACATTTTCAAACTTTGCAATTTAATCCCTAAATTTATAAATTCTTTCAAATTAAACCAATTAAGCATACTAATACTAAATTCCAGCATAGTATACCAACTTTTAATAATTTACATCTTATTCCTTAAATTCCTCAAATTTTGCAAAACGATCCCTATAACTTTACAATGTTCCAAAGTGGTCCAAATCTTATTTCAAATTATGTAACAACATATAAATCATTATTTCAAAGTATGTAACAATATATAATCACAAAATTAATAAAATTATAAAACGAAAATTATGAGATCCATATTAAACACTAAACCTTTAAAACAAGAAGAAAATGAGATTAGGGCTTGAGTTTTAAAATTACCTCAATTTTTTGACGACGCTGATCGATATCCTCTCACTCTCTTTGCTTCTTATGATCGATATCCTCTCACTCTCTTTGCTTCCGTAATTGAAATCTCAAAATGAATTGCCTAAAGTCGAGCACTCTCTTATAAACATGTTTCGAACCCGTCTCGTGCATGTGGGCTGAAGAATACGCCAAGACATCCCCCTCCAATGTGAAGAAGACGCCGAGAAATCCTACCCCCAATGTGAAGAAGACGCTGAGAAATCCTTTAAACACATGCAACGTCCAGGCACCCCATATGCATGTGAAGAAGACGCAGCATGCAGAGCTCTGCTCACCCCGTGATTTCCCACGTCCAGGCCCACATGCAGAGCTCCCACTCCCAACAGCATGCAGTGTCGACGTCCAGGGCCCCCCCACATGCAACTTTCTCTGCTCACCCATGATTTCTCACGTCCATGCCCACCTGCAGAGCTCCCACTTCCAGCAGCATGCAGTGTCGCAGCTCGTACATACAGGAGAAGTTGAAGACGCCGAGAGATCATCCAACACCTGCTGAAGACGCCAAGAAATGCATGTCACCTATAGCAATCGCCCCATTTAAAGAAATAATCTCATTACAACATTATTTTGGAAATAAAGTTTCCCACTTGCATTATCGTGAAAGTTTTGCCAAAATGTGATACATTGTATACGTTAGAATTATCATCCTAAAACGAAAATGACGTTTTTTATGATTCTAGAAGATATCTTTTACTCCAATAAAATATTTTAAAAAGTTGATTAGAATAGAGCGTAAGTGAGAGCTAAATATGTGAAATCATTGGATTAGCTCAGCTAGGTCCCACCTACCAACAGTGGGGACAAAATGGAGAAAATAGCATTATCCCGGTTCTATAAATTGAAGGGGCCATATACTCTGGTAATACGCCGTGAAACAGTTCCGATTCAACACAGTCGGCCAACAATGGTTGTGAAGGTTTACGGCTCAGCGTTTGCTTCCCCAAAGCGAGTGCTTGCATGTCTGATCGAGAAGGAGATCGAATTCGAGACAGTCCCTGTTGATTTGCTTAAAGGAGAGCACAAAGCCCCTGAATTCCTCAAGTTGCAGGTACTTTTGTCAAAAAAACCTCCATCTTCTCACTCAAATTTCATGTTTTTACAATCAATCTTCTTTGTCTTCTTTGCAGCCTTTTGGAACAGTTCCTGTCACTCAAGATGGAGATTACGTTTTATATGGTAAATTAGACGATACCTTATCTTCTCCCCCGATATTTTTTCTCTAGAAATTATGATTTTTTTTGACGATTTGGGAGTTGCAGAATCCCGTGCGATCATGAGGTACTATTCAGAGAAATACAAATCACAAGGGACTGATCTGCTGGGAAAGACGATTGAGGAAAGGGGGCAAGTGGAGAATTGGCTTGAGGTGGAGGCACACAATTTCAATCCACCCGTTTACAATCTCACCGTTCAAGTGCTGTTTTCATCCAAGCTGGGGTTCCCTCGAGACGAGAAGCTGATAAAGGAGAGCGAGGAGAAGCTGGGGAGAGTGCTGGATATTTACGAGGAGAGGCTGTCGAAGAGCAAGTACTTGGCGGGTGATTTCTTCAGCCTGGCCGACCTTAGCCACCTACCGTTCACTCAGTACTTGGTAGGTCAGATCGGTAAGGAGTACATGATCAGCAGCAGGAAGCATGTGAACGCTTGGTGGAACGATATCAGCAGCCGAGCATCTTGGCAAAAGGTTCTCCAGCTCTACCCTGCTCCGGTCTAACAAGTGATGGGGTTTTTTTTTTTTTTGCTTTGTTTTAACAGTTTGAATAAATGTTCTTAGAACTCAGTTTCTATGGTTACAGCTGTGTTGTCCTGTGTTTGATGTTATGAATAAAGGTGAATATGGGTTTCAGTGCTCTTAACCTTAGACGGTGAATCTACTGGAGAAACCAAATAATGGTGTATTCCGTTTTCCTGGTTCAGGGGGTCCTAATATCACTCGCCATTCATTTTCGTTTCCTAAACTGTTAAACCACAGTGCATGTTACTCAAATTACCGCATGGCTTGAACATTGTTCATTGGAAGTTATGTGCCTCAATTGTTAACTCCTCCAGATTATAGCTACTGCTTGATCTCTTGCAAGAGCCAAATAAAAATTTTCTAGTTGTTGGGACACGTTCAATTAAGTTATAAAATAAAACTTGAATAACTTAAAAATTTAATAGATTAATTTTCAAGTTAAGTTACCGACTCTGCTTAATGTATATGCACATGAGAAAAAAATGAAGAAATATATATATCAAAACATTGTTTGAAATAGAAAGCCCCTCGGTATAAGAAGGATTTATCATAAAAAGTATGTTGTCAGGCCACGGCTTCGAGTCTTTGAGCAGTTAAGTTCAAAGTTCAAAGTTCAAAGTTCTAGGGTTGGAATTTTATATATGAAAAAAGCTTAGTGCCTAGGCCAAGGCCAAGGCCAAGACGGATGCATTTTGATTCATTTAACGTGATTTGTTATTGCCATAAATTTTCAATTAATATTTAATTCCACTTGCAATTAGGGGTGCACAAAAAATCTGAATATCCGATTTTACGAAAAAAATATCCGAAATCAGATTTGGGAAAAATCGGTTTTTTTTAACCGGATCGGATTTTTTTAAACCGGTTATTTTAACCGGTTTGGAGAAAAAAACCTAGACTGGTTTTTTTACCAGATAAAAAACCGGTTTGAAAAAAACCGGTTAAAATCGGTTTTTATCCGGAAAAAAAATTGGTCTGGGTTTAAAAAACTAGCCGTTAATATAGCCGTTGGGGGGTTTTGTGACCGTTTTTGACCTTTTTTTCTTTAAAAAATTACCATTTTACCACCCTAAACATGTATAAATAGGTTGGGGATGTATTTGGTTGATTACAACTTTCTTAAATCTTATTACACAACACCTAAACATCTCTCAAATTTTATTTTTGTAATTTTTTGTTCATCATGAGTAACACGGCTGAATCTTCCGTCGGGGGAAACCTTGAAGTCGTGAAAGTGATCGAACACACTCGAAACAAAGATATTTGGGATCACTACGATTTATGTGAGATGTCAAATGGCTCGAGGAGGGCGTTGTAAACTTTGTCTAAAGTTTCTTGCATCGGAAGGAAACACAACGTTGAAGAACTATTTGACAAAATCATGCAAGGCACTTCGCTCAAGATCGGATCCTAGTCAATCAAATCTTACACCGTAAGGTGGTGTTTTTGTTTACGACAACGAAAAATTACGAGAAGCGTTTACAAAGTTCGTGATTACAAAAGCATTGCCGTTCGACCACTTTGATGATGAAGATTTCACGACAACAATTCAACAACTAATGCAACCACGTTATACTCAAGTAAGTCGTACTACCCTTAGAAGAGATGCTATAAAAATGTGGCGTACGGCGAGGGAAAAAATGATTTTAGGATTCCAAGAACACCGTTATGGTGTGTCGCTTACATGTGACGTTTGGAGTTCCCCTCATAATACCGGAAATTCTTTTGTAGCCGTTACGTCACATTGGTTAGATCAAGATAATTGGCAAATGATGAAAAGAAAATTCGCGTTTGAATTATTCGGTGAGCCGTATACCGGTACTAATTTATTTACACTTTTAAAAAGGGTAATTTGTCTTTATAAATTAGAAAATAAAGTTTTTTCTATATCCTTTGATAATGCATCGAATAATACAAACATGGTTCCAAGATTGAAAATATTACTTTCACCGATTTTAGACGGTGCGTTTTTTCATACCCGTTGCGTTGCACACATAATTAATTTATCCGTGCAAGCCGGTTTGGAGGTTATTGAGCCGATTAGAATTTAAAACAATGATAAAATCGGTTCTTTGTAACAACAACAAAAGACTAAATGATTATAAACGATTTTGTAAGTCCATTAATAAAAAAACTTTGAGTCCTAATTTGGATTGTCCAACTCGTTGGAACTAAACTTAGATGATGATGCATACTGCCTTAAGGCAAAGGGAAACATTGCAAACATTTCACGATCGGCTTTTCGAGAGGGGTCATGTCCCAAACATTTATCCGGATTCGAGTTGGGAAACTATAGCCAAAATAACCGATTTGCTTGGGGTTTTTAAAAATGCAACAACTTTTTTATCCGGTGTTTATTACCCTACTAGCCCGTTGGTTCTTAATCAAATATTTTTGTTGGCTACTCGACTAAATGACTTTGAATTTGAAACCGAAGTTTTTCAAGAAATTGGCTTTGTAATGAAGGAAAAACTTTTAAAATATTTTAAGGAGATTCCCCCTATTTTTACTTGTTCCGCCGCTTTAAACCTAACGTTAAATGTTGGTGGGGTTGAAACACTAATTGAACAAATTGCGTTTGCTTTTAATCTAACCGATGATGAACCCAACTTTGTCCAAAACCAAATAAATTATTTTAACAAATGTTTTCGAGACATGTTTGCAATTTATTTAACTAAATACGGATCAAGTAATGTAATACACGATCAAATGAGAATGAATGCGGAATCATCTAGTAGACGTCCAAGTAACATAAATTTGAATCTTTTTAACACTCTTGTAAATTCCCAATCCAAACGATCACGTACTACCACCCCAAGTAGCGAGTTGGGAAATTACATGTCATGCGATTTTCTATCAAAAATGACATTTGAAGAGTTTGAAAGTTTGGATATTTTGGCTTGGTGGAAAGAAAAGGAAACACAATTTTCGATTCTAGCCGTCATGGCCCGTGATTTACTAACCGTCCAAGCTTCTACGGTAGCTTCGGAATCCGCTTTTTCTGTTAGTGGCAGGGTTATATCGCAACGAGATCAAGACTAAGTCTTGAGTCGGTGGAAGTATGCATTTGTTTAAAGGATTATTTGGATGGAGCGGCTCGTAAGCAACATATCACCACCCTAGAAGATGCAATTGATGCCGATTTGGAAGCAAACTTACACATTGAAGAAGTCGAACTTAGAATATCCCCTCCAAACGAAGAAGGCGAAGATGATGAAGAAGAGATGGCAATGTAGTTTATTTTTAAACTTTATTTCAATTATCGTAAACTTTGTTTCAATTATCGAACTTGAAGTTTTTAAGTATTTGAATTTATCGAACTTGGAAGTTTTTAAGTATTTGAATTTATCAAACTTGGAAGTATTTAAGTATTTCAATTATGTTGAGTTAATTAAGTATTTAAATTTATCGAACTTGAGGTTTGATGCTTTCTCTTTGATTCTCTCTTGATTCTAGTTGCTTGATGTTTCTTGTCTTTGATCAATGGCTTCTAAGCTTGCTTAAATACACCTTAAATCACTTCTGAACATTAGGGATAATTAATGAAGATAATATAGCCGTTTAAGTGTGAAAACATTTAATAAAAATGCTTGGAGCATGGGGGGAATCGGTACCCTCTCATAGGGAATCGGTTCCCTAAGTGTAAAATTCAAATATTTCGACCGTTGAATAGGGAGAAATCGGTACCCCTATGGGAAATCGATTCCCTACGAGCATTCTGAAAATCTCGGAGCCAAACCATTCAGGGGAAATCGGTACCCCTTGGGGGAAATCGATTCCCTATGAGCAATCTGGAATTTTTGACTTTGAAATAATTCGAAATACTTTGAAAGATTATTTTGAAATTGTTTTAAGATTAAAACTTAATTTTACACTTAAGTAAGGATTAAAAATGATTTTTGAAATATTTGGAGTAATATTTTGATATTCGAATAATTATCGAATATACTTAAAAAATCATTTGAAAAATCTTAAAATTCATTTAACTTAATTTGTTATATCGAAATATCAAAATATTTTCAACAAATTATCGTAAACTTTGTTACAATTGATGACGATGTAATTTTAATAATATTAAAATCGTTTTTTTATAACCGATTTTTTAAAAAAACCAATTTTTTTAAAACCAAAACCGGTTACACCGGTTAGGATATCCAACCCTCCAAACCGGTTAGAAACCGAACCGGTTATTTTATAAACCGGTTTTTTTCTATAGAAAAAACCGGATCGGATAAAAGCCGATCCAGATCGGATTGAAATCCGACAAATGTGCAACCCTACTTGCAATATAGACGATTGGAAACGTTCCATTTATAACTAAACTGATTTGACTAAACTAATTTAATAAGAAACTTGATATAAAGCATAGATTTTTTTAAAAAAGAAAAACTAATCTACTTTATATATTCTTCTATTGGCGTATGTTGGTGTTATCATACATCAAATCAGTTACCTTGATTTACGAATTGACATAATAAATCTTTAACTTATTTACCCTACAATGGTTGTGCAAAAAAGCATAAAGAAAATATTAAACAAACCGACCAGGACTATATTACATTATTGCAGCAAGGGACACAAAAATCATAAACTACAATCTCGGGGTCAAACTGAATAAATAAGTAAATACTACAGCAACAACAAAAATGCCCCATTTGTTAAATGGTTGCAACTCATTGAGTTCATATGTCATCTTTGGAGCCTACAGCAAATTTGGCTATGAAAAAGCCAATTGTATCAATTGGGGATGAGGGATCAAACCTTTGAACCAGTTCCTCCTCTCCTGGTCTTAGCCACTCTCTGTATAGTATCAAATATCATTATAGTATACAGTTTATAAATCACCTTCGCCATATAACTTTGTACTTGATTATCTCTAAAAAATGAAACAATGTGTAACAAGGAATACTTACTCAACATATCCATCTGGAAATTTACAACTACCGACAAGACCAGCTCCTCCGATTCTTGGATGCTGGAAAAAGACTAGTGTTTCATCAGAGTGCTAATTAACATTGATAATTGAGCATTATTTTGTAACTAAATGGTAAGACCTCAGAAGGAAAGCCATACAAATATTAGTCAACTCTCTCTGGAGTTTTAATGTGTTGTAAGGTTTAGTTAAA